CCCCCCCCAAATCCAGTTTGGTACAAAATCGATTTTCTTATTCAAAACGAATAGTTAATTGTAAAGACTTAAATAATTACCGTCAAATAATCACAATAAATTTAATTCAAAGGTGTCACTAACCAGTTAAAAAGTTAACTTTTTTTATAACTTTTTCAACATAGGGAATTTTCTAATTAACTTAAGAACTTAATACTTGTTTAATTAACTGTTGAAATAATAAAAAAAATTTTCCATTGATGTAAAAATAATGTATCAAAATTGACAATTCATCAATGTGACGAAAATGTCTATCGTTGTATAAATTATAACGGCCGTGGCCCGTGGGCCTTTTTTTCGTTCCGTTTCAGCCGTGGACTTCCTCGACAGGAACTCGCTGATGAACAGACTGCCGCTGTACATATTCACTCTGTGGCTGGGCCCGATGATGACCAAGACCGCGGTAGACAAGAAGGCGGTCAGGGACTTTGTGCTCGGCGACCGGTCAGCGTTCGATGTGGTGGTGGTCGAGAACTTCTTCCACGAGTGTTTCGTGACGCTCGGCCATAAGTACGGGGTGCCGGTGGTGCAACTGCTGCCGTTCGCCGTCAACCCCAGGGTGTCGCAGTGGCAGGGCAACCCTTACGGGCCCTCGTACATGGCCGACTTCGCGGCCGGTTTCGTGGCACCCATGACGTTCGTTCAGCGCGCCCAGAACGGCGTGGCCGCCTTGTTCAACACGTGGGTTAACCGGCTGCTGTATATGCCCCAGCAGCGGGCCATCATGGACGAGCACTTTGCGTACCCAGGCCACGAGGGCCGGCCTGACCTTGAGACGATGCTCCGGAATGTGTCGCTTACGTTGGTAAACAGCCACCCGCTAATCGGACCGCCAGCCCCTTACGTGCCCAGCTACGTACAGGTGGCCGGTATGCACATGAAACCGGCCGGGCCGCTGCCCATGGTACGTGTCCATACGATATTCAACCAACTTATATCAGATAGGGGTGCTTCAGTTATAGCTTTATTAGTATTCGAGTGGCAAAATGCTGTTAAAAAATTAATTCCCCGTGCCGCATACTAATATTAAGTTCGGGGTTTCATCGATTTCACCTATTATTTTTGTAGTGCAAAAGTGGGATTTCGACAGTATACCCATGTGTAGTTCGGAAACGTCCTATCGATACGGCCAATTTTTAATTGAAAGTTCAACGTCCGTTGACTAAGTTTTTTTAATGTCTGCAGGACGAATGTATTTTTTTAGTTTTAAATTATTTAATATGAAACACGAACACCATTATATAGCTTCATATATAAATGTATTATTCCTCCGTGTTTCATTGGATTCGTTGTGAAAAATAAACTTTTAATATTTCATGCACTCGATGACTAGGTAGTACTGGACCAATAATATACATAATATATTATAGGCCACGCTCTATACACTCATTTCTTATTACAAAAATGTCGCAAACATTTTATAATTATTTTCCAGGACCTAAAAACAATTTTGGACTCAGCTGAACACGGAGTGATCTACTTCAGTTTGGGTTCGGTGGTTAAGTCATCAAAAATGCCTCGAGAAGTAGTGTCTTTCCTGTTGTCCGAATTGGCCAAGCTGAAACAAACGGTTCTATGGAAATGGGAAGATGATCAGCTTCCCAACCTGCCAAAAAACGTCATGGTCAAGAAATGGTTTCCGCAAAACGATATATTGGGTATGCATACAAATACCTTGTGCAAAACATAAATCTACAGCTCTAGTCTAACATACAATAATGTCGATTGGTGGGACTCTCCAGAACATAAATTAGGATAGGGGACTTGAGGATTGTTTGTATGATATAGGTACCAATATGTATAATTTGGCTAACATCAAACATATTATTGAGCTTTACATTAAATCACAATGTTATACACGGTTGACAATAATATTTGTTATTCGATTATGTTCTTTATTGTATTAGTTTAAATTCAAGATAGGATACAATAATGATATATTATTATTTAATATGAATGTGGATGATTTAGATAAAATAAAATAAATAGTAAATAGTAAACATAATATTGTAGCAACACAAAATTAGATTAATTTGGGAATATTCTGTGCTATACTATCTTATCATATCGATATCTCTATACATACTCTATACGTACTCTACTATATTTAAGCTAACAGTATCGACAGAATAATCAATTTGAATTCTGGTGGAAATTACATTACTCGTATAGTCGTATGCATATTTTTTAATACCTATAGTTGTGATTGTGCAAATTATACCTACATTATATTATATTTATTTTGGTGTAAATTACATACACCCATTGATACATAAAATATTGTAGAATAAAATACACAATATACAATAACAATAATATACCAAAATACCTTCCAGGTCATCCAAACTGCCGGCTGTTCATCACCCACGGGGGCATACTTAGCCTGATCGAGGCCATTTACCACGGCGTGCCGATGTTATCTATACCGGTATTCGGCGATCAGACTCACAATTCGATCGAAGCCGAGAGCAGAGGATTCGCCTTGTACGTGTCCTACTTTGAACTGACGGCCGAGACTTTCGGATCTAAACTCCAACAGCTCTTGCGAGACCTTAGGTGAGGAGCACTTGTATTGCTTATTAGTATTATTTATATTTGGTACACATATACCCGTTATTGGACTCACCAGCGACAAACCGCTCAATACCAACCTCACTGTAGGTACCCTCTCTTATTTTTTTAGATATCTGACAAATGAATGGTCATGACTCATGATTTGCTGTGTTTTTTTTTGTTTAAAAAAAACTCTTTTGTATGGGTGATCGGCAGTTTTTAATCTCAACAATGTTTATTCGTACTAATAGGGGGTAAACAAAATCACAAATTGCAACGAATAAATTAAAAATACCTGCGTATTTCGTCATATAACCTCAAAATTAGTCAGTAGTTGGTTATTAGACACATAGATGAGTCATAATAGGGTAAATCTCTCGAGATAGACTCAAGCCTAAGACAGTTAACCTCACCGTGATAGAAATACTGAGCAAATTGTTTCCGTATATTTTATACTATACAGTGTATAGAATCAAAATATCTAAGAGTTGATATAAAATAATACATCATTGTTTTGAAATTTGTAGTCTATAATTTCACAACCATTACTGTGTGTGGTTTTGTTCTTGTTTCATCATCTCTGGTATCCGTAACAACCACTTGCTAGTGTTCCACAGAACGCTAAAGAACAGGTTTAGGTATACTGTTATAAAATATTGTGCCCGAAGTTGTCTGAAACACGTTATAGTGAGTTATGATAAAAAAAACCAAAAATCAGGTTTGCCCGGCAACCCTATTATATCCACCATAGAACAAATAAACAGTACAATAGTCCTAATGAGTGGTGTATCTAGTGGTAGATGGCTATACCAAACTAAAAACCATGTAAAATCAACAAAACTTTTCCATAGATTCTTTTTATCATACAATAATTATAAAAATATAGTAAATAAGTATGATAATATTAATAATATAGATTTCATTTTGCTCGCATTCAGTAAATTCAATTATATTTAATTAAAAGATATAAATCAATTTAAACGTTCGGGAAGGAATCTTACCAAAATAAATCATTACATTTATCTCGTATTTATGAATTTTATAGCTACATTTTTCAAATTAATAATATCATTTTTTTTAACAAAAATGTATTCAGTAAATGTATTTTTTTCATTGTTTTTATTTTAAAAAAAAACAATAAAGGAAAAAAAATGTAATTCAATACAATTTAATTGACGTATTATTATATTATTATTTTAAATGCCAATAAATAAAATCAATACCTATATTTCCGTACGCCCGCAAACAACAACCGTGACCCATATCATAATAAACATGTTAATTAGTTATAATAAACATTTCGTACATAGGTATAGTAAAATAATACGTATGTCTAATATTATATTATTATTGATTCGGTGAAAGGTTCGGTGAGGCCGCCGCGAAGGCGTCGGCTATAATGCGGGACAACCCGACGTCTGTGATGGACAAGGCCGTATTTTGGATCGAGTTCGTCGTCCGACACGGAGGAGCGCCGCACTTGCGTACCGCAGCCAACCAACTCTACTGGTTTCAATACTACATGTTGGACGTGATCGCCGCCGCAATGGCCACGTTGGCTGTAGTTTCGTATCTCAATTACAAGTGTTTGGCGTACTTGCTGAAGAAAATCGTCGGCGGCTCTAAGCGCCCCACTTCAAAAGTATCAAAGCTCAAAAAGAAGATGAAATGATAATACCTTTTAAGTATACATATTTATGTGACCGAGCACCGCCGCACTGTAGGTAACTATGGTTTGTGTTCAAATCTTTAATAAAATATAGTTTTCTGTTGACTGCTTATAAATTGATGTGACATAGGTATTATTTTTAAGGTATACACCTATTGACCTATGACCTATGTACCTGCAGTATAAACGATTATGGGTTATTGTATGACCTCGCTGGAGTGCTGTTCAAATGTTTACCTAAATGTGATGTGATTCCTCTCGTTTGTCCTATGTATGAATAATTATCATAAGTCATTTTATATCAAAAAGTAAAAATAAATTCCACAAGTTAATAACGTATTATACGTTTCAATGTTTTTATTTTTTCCCATAAGCGTCAACTTATAACCTGTTGCCGATAACGCTTTACATAACCATGATATACGACAAAAATGCCTATACCAAATATAACAATTTATAGACTATCTACCTTAAATTATTATATATTACGTCATTACCTTGGTACACTTTTGGGAGAAGTGAAAAAATAACATTATATTACATTATACTTGACAAGTCTTAATCAAAATTGTTACGTATTGGCTATTTGTGTTCTACATTACATACTCAGTATTCAAAAACTGCATGAGCCATTATACATAGTATATTTTAAATTAAAAACCAACATAATACCATAATTTTACCATACCATAATACCTAATTACATTGTACAATGTACCCATTTACTAATTATAGGGTACATAAAAATTACCTGCAATTTTGGAAAACATGCGGGATTACACATTTGGGTACATATTTTTTGCATTTTATAATACAAATAAAATGGGAACAATAATGGTTTAGTCGGAAAATGTTGCTCTATTATAGTCTATAGTGCCATAAATATAATAAGAATAGTTGAATAATAAAAAACCGTTGCGTAGAAGTCGTTGCCCTAAAATTATGGCTCAGCACCATAGACCTATAAACTAGTTTTTATCTAGTTTAAACTAGCTTATAGGTCTATGCTCAGCACACATAAAAAAAAGGCCCGGGGAGACATATTATGTACTCTGAGAGTCTGAGATACACCAACACTGAGATATTCTACCGAAAGCGCCGTATTTTATTTTATTCGTTTAGTTTTCTCGGGTGGAGAAGCCCCACTCGAGAGTTTGCGTGCCACCACTGATTCTTGTTCCTCGAGTACCAGGATTGTATGCTCTGGTAGTCTGGTGGCGTAGTGCCGATGTTTCGACCACGAAACCGGTAACTTGGTGCACAACTACAGTCAACGCACGGTATAGTGCGGTCTGCCGGTCTATGAAAAGTAGGCCGCGACCGTCACGAGTCTATCGGCCGTTTTTCGGAAAAATCCAGGGTTTTCCGTTCGGGAGTATCATTATTTTATCGTAGTACAAATGGTTTTCAGGTGGTATTTCGTCGCATTCTGGTCTGTAACATTTTCGTCATTTTGTGCTTGTTGACACGTAGATCTGCCATCACAAACGTGGCAATATTCGTGATTCGGTTCAGCATTGTGAACAATAATTTCGTGTGGATACTGAAGTTTTAAAATCGAAGCTACTTCGACTACTTATCGTGTATACAGACGCAGAAAATAAAAAAATAAAAAAACACATCATTGTAAAATCGATACTTTCATTGCCCCGCTCAGAATCTATTATAATTATTTAGTAAACAGTAGTACATTACACGATTTGAAATTATATTAGGCGGGAGGAAATCGTTTGGAGACCCATGCCCGTTTTACGGCCCGTAGCGCGTGACGATCGCTGCCTACTTTTCGTAGACCGCATAATTCTGTCACCAAAATGATCTTTTTCCATCTAAAGTAAAAATTATAAATTACTAAATTTTTAGTACAATTAAAAATGTCATAATAGTCCTTTTTAACTCGATGTCCGTTCAACCCTTCTGATTTAAACCGCGGATCAAGTACCAGGACTGCATGCACTGGTTGAGATGTTTCGACCACTAAGCCGGTGCTCTGCGCGGATCGGTTGATCTTTAAATCATACCGGTCGCCGGTCGGATTCGTGCACTCCTATGGCCACCTCATTGTAACAACACTCGCGATCTCCTCAACCCTACCGTTGCAACCGCGAGCAGGTACCAGGACGTCATGCTCTGGTTGTGATGTTTCGACCACTAAGCCGGTGCTCTGCGCGGATCGGTTGATCTTTAAATCATACCGGTCGCCGGTCGGATTCGTGCACTCCTATGGCCGCCTCATTGTAACAACACTCGCGATCCTCTCAACCATATCGTTGCAACCGCGAGTCAGGTACCAGGACCTCATGCTCTGGTACCGGTGCTTCGACCACGACTGAACCGGTGCTCCTCGGGAATCGTTCATTCACACTGTTGATTTCCTACGTTTTCGTATACATTCACATGAGCATGGAAAAATGTTCACCTTGTCATGATTTATTATTTATTGGTTGCCCGTGTAACTCGCTCCGACTACGACCCGGTCTGGTCGTCTATATTATTATTATATTCATCGTGCCTGACCAAATATGGTTGTTAATAACATAATAATAATAATTAAGGACAAATTTTTTTTTTGATTTGACTATTTATTTCAATACTAAAATCTCTTATTCATTAAATATAACAATTAATAATACTTAATGCCCATTGAAAATCACAAAATATAGTTTTTAATAACATAATAATAAAATTATAATAGTTAAGAATTAAACATATATATAATATATATTAATGGTCGATCCCGTGAACTCCATTGACCGTTTAAAATACCAACTCTATATGACTCAATTTTGTTCAATTCGTTATTTAATATTCGGGTGTAATGCGGGTGTTAAAAACTTCAAAATGTTCATCGGCCATCTTGAATCTCAAAATACCTATGCGCCACTTTAAAATGCGAATTTTGTAATATGCTTTCTTAGTGCACACTTACACGGGGCTCAAAGCAGTGGCGTATTTAGGATTTTGTCATGGGAGGGGATACGATCTTATTGTGCTAGCTCTAGCATCATGTGTCTTACATAACTTTATAAAAATATACGGTGGTAAATCTTTGTATAGTCGGAACGTTATTGAAGGTACACCGTTAAATGAAACTACGCTAAATACTATACAATTTCAAGGCGGAAATGCGAGTCAAGAAGCATTTCATGTGTGGGAGCTTTTTACAGATTTTTTCAATTCACCTAGTGCCACAGTTTCGTGGCAAAATGAATACATTTAATTTAAATTTTTTTCTTAAATATAAATAAAGACGTGTAGTTATTATTATTATTATGTATACATTTAATATAGGTAACTAACTAAGCAGACACCTCCTAAGTATATTATTCTATTATATATTAAAAATCTATAGACTTAAAAAAACTACAGTTTGTTATTAATAATAAAATAAGGAAAACAATTTAATAATTTGTTTTAAAATTTAAAAATGTCATTTTGTAATAATATACGTTATTTAAGCACAGTATTGGTATTAAGTTATATGAAATAAATAGGTACTTAATTATTACTATATAGGACATAGGTATAGTATATTATGTATGCATTATAACTGTTTATATAATTTTTTTAAATATACCTGGTTGGTTTAATTCTTCGCCTATAATTTTCCAAGTACGATCTTTCCAAGTGCTATCGGTATATTTTAACACTAAGATCGTAGAGCCCAGAGTGTGCTCGCACACATTCAATTAATTTTTCAGCGTTCATTTTAAAGTTTATGACTATATAGTGAAAAATTGACAACTGATAGTAATACTGAAGTACTGCACTTGGTAACTGAACTGTAGTGTAGTAACTGAACTAATAAGTAATATTTATAGCAAAATGCGAAAACAAAATGTGATTCTATTCATTTCCGGCCCGGCCACACATTCCCACTACAACGATTCAAAGAAAAACTCGGACGGATACCCGTGAGAGAATCGTCGAGAAGAATATTTTTACCGCCCGTCCACGGCCCGTTTCCCCGTTCTGTCGTCGCTCCAGACTAATATGAACGTTTATATTTAAAAATACAGGAACAATATTTTTTCCAGGCACGGACGGGTTCCGGACGGATTCCGGTCCGTCTCCGTTCCGTCGTAGTGTGAATAGACCTTTAGATTGAAAAAAAAAACACTCAACTTAAGTCTTGGGGGGGGGGGTCAAACCCAATGATCCCCCTCCCCCGTAAATACGCCACTGGCTCAAAGGTATAGGTATCATGAAAATTGCAAGCCTCAAGCTATCATTGTTTAGGCTCTAGCCCTCTAGGTCGATCAGTCAGTCAGGACATATTATTAGATTATATTATATGGTAGCAATGCCGCAAGGCGTCTCATCTTGGTTTTGGTGTAACCCAGTTCAGATTGTAGTATGCCATGCACGATTGTAAATTTTTTATTATTATGCATGCCGGTAACCGCTCATTGGAGCCGCGCAGACGCGCAGTGATACACAGTTCGAGTATTCTTTATATTGTTCTATTGTGTTCTTGACCCTCTTTTGGGGCAACGTTTTTATGCCGCGTGGCTTTTCTTTGCCGTGACTGAACGATTATTCTTTTTCTCCTAATCAAAATAAACATTAATGAATTCACCCCTAAACGATGTGTTGATTGTTCATACCTATTTCTCTTTTCGAAGTACAAATCCTGCACGTTTCAATTTCAGAATTTCGGCTGTGGCGACCTTCGTAAGCTACGTCAATGTACGCTCCACGGCGAATCTGGATAGGGCATCGTGTGAGACGTTACAAGTAGTTTTTAAGTTATATATTATTGCAAACAAACGAATAATTTTACTTGATTATAATGTTATGATACAGTGTTGGGTAAATTACTTTTGAAGAGTAATTAAATTCGAGTTATCTGACATTATTTTTATCACGTTACGTTAATTTTTCATTCGAAAAGGGGATTACAAATAACGTTACTAATTTCAAAAGTTAGTTAAAAAATTAGCCTATATATAAGCAACTAATCGCAATGACTGTTAAGTGGTAGCCGATAGGTACACAATTATATAAATAGCAACCATATCAGTCATCAGTTTTAACAGTGAAGGTATAACATTAAAGACTTAGGTATATTCAGTGTTGGGTTTTGGGTAAATTACTTTTAAAAAGTAATGACATTATGTTACTTCAAATATTTTTATTTAAATTACATTTGCGTTTCCTAAAATAATTTTTATCATGTTACTATTCTCCTTCATTAATATAGTAGTGCATTACAAATAACCTTACTTTTTTTTTAACCATATTCAATGTATATGATTCAATTATCATGTACATATTTTACAATCATAGACTTAGTGATAATAGACCTATTATGTACAAATGTAAAATAATAAGTACAATCATCTCACCTATATGGCTATATAGCTGTTTAGCCATATGAGTAGACAGGAAGTTTCTTCATAGGTCATAAATCATAATGAAATAATGAAATATTCTAAATACAAATTTTTAGAGATTGCTTTTTCATTAGGAAATTCACCCGTATACTTTGTCTCAGTCTTAAACACATAACATAGCACATTGTAGGTTCTGAATAATTAATTTAACTCTGTTTTGTTTAGTTGTAATAAATGTTTAATATTAGAGTGAATTGATCTACAATCAAATTGAGCAGTAAGAATGTTATCTGGTCAATGACATAGGTTTTTTTTTGTATTTCAATTTTAAAGTGAGTTATGAGCATTTAAAAATAGTAAATTGTTTGTACATCTTAAAATACTCATAACTCGCTCTAAAATTGAAGTTTAAAAAAGACCTACAGCAACGACTAGTTAATATTCTTACTACTAAATTTAATTATAGGTCAATTTACTCTAAGATTATTCACAACGTACAATATGCTTTGTTATGTGTTTGTAAGACTGAGACAAAACATGTGAGTATTAAAATGTTATACCACCATTTAATTTTTACTTTTAATTATTGTGTTTTAACTTATAATGTAGGTACTCAGAAAAAATATATTAAAATGAATACCGAATAAAAATGTATATTATAAAAATAAAAATTTAATCATAGCAGAGTTAATAAAAACAATAGGTATTAAGAAAATTAACATAGAATTCCAAACTAAAAGTTGAGTATCTTAAGCTACTTTAAAATTTGTATCAAATTACAAGTATAATATATTGAATAATCAACAATTATTATCTTAATACCTGCTTATTCAGTAGTAAGAAAATTATTTGAACACTTCACAAAAATGCTATTAAATTTACTAAGAGATAAAACCATAATTATAATAAGTAAACAATTAAATATAATAATGAATTGATAAATATTCTTTTAAGCTATTTATTTAAATATTTTTTAGTACATTTAATGTTATAAATTATAATATTGTAATGTTTTTTCTTAAGTGTTACACATTTCACTAATAAGTAATAAATGTATGATAATCAACGTTTAATAGATAAGGTAATACCTATAAGCTAATTATTAATATTTTTAGTGAAAAAAAATGTATTAAAAAGTAAAATAAAATTTGGTCTTCATGGAAAAAAAATCATTATGTACAAGTATGAAAATATTTTAAAACATGATTATTCTAAATAATATAATACTTAAAATATTACCACATAAAAATACATTTAGTTTGTTTAATAAATTTTTCATTATTATAGAACAAAATAAAATATAAGAAACTTACAAAATTAGCACAATAAAAGTAACTATATGTTTTATTACACCTATATTTCAAACGAAAATGAATTGCAAACATATTAGGTACATATTGATAAATTCTTTCAACTAATTATTTATACATCTTAGTAAAATTAGTTATTGATATTAACAAAATAATAATGGACTAAACCTATGGAAATCAGTTAATTACAGATTTATTTTATGAATAAAATCATGACACTTGTATCTAATAAAACTAAATACTTTTGCAAAAGTTTACCGAATTATATTAATGTTAACAATTAACATTTGAAGAACAATTACATGGCTACATAAAATAAATTAAAAATATTTTTTTTTAATAGTTAATAAATAATAATGAAATAGTTTTAAATTGAAATGAATAATCGTAAAACAAATTCAAATTATTTAACAAAAAACATTACAGATAATACATTTTAATTTTTGTTGAAAACTCTTTCATATATACAACTAATGTTGATAATTTATTTATAAGAGTAAAAAATTTCCATTGGTTTCTCTTTCTTGACGTTCCAAAATTTCTCTTGAACATTTTGAAGTGTTAAACTGTTATCGAGGAGTACATATTGATCAGCAGTTTGTGAAATATAGATTAGAACAGTCGCATGATTATTCCCAAGTTCTTTACCGTGATCTAAATTTAACCGCATGGTTAAATAACTTCTCAAGTGTTCAACTAATAAAAACAATGTAACAGTCATAATTATAAACATTTTAAAATTATGTTGTATTCTCAAGTCTGCCATGCATTATCTCTGTCTTAGAAACATATAACATAGCAGACTGTGAATTTAACTCGGTTATGTTTAATTTTAGAGAGAATTGTTTGTACATTTTAAAATACTCATAACTTGTTTAAAATTAAAATATAAAAACCTAGTCTTTAACTAGATAATATTCTTACTTCTAAAATTGGTAATCAGTCAATTTACTCTAAAATTTAACTTAACCGAGTTAAATTAATTATTCAGAAAGTACAATTTGCCTATGAGTTTGTAAGATGGCGACAACACATGCGTGTATGGTGTCCTCTCAAACTAAAATTGTTGGAGAGATTGTTTAATTTATGATTGATTCCTAACAATCCATTCATTCTTGTTTTCCAAGGGTATTATAAACTATGTCTTAAATAAGAGTAACCTTAGGCAGTAACTGATTTTTGTTTGATTCTGTAAGAATAGCTACAGAGATACATTCATCATAGTCGCCAAGCGCAGAAACCCACCACCTAAGATATTACTCCTATACAATACAGAGTATAGCAGCGGTTCTTAAACTTTTGTAGAACACGCACCCCCGATGAAATATTTTTAGAAATCGCAGACCCCCTACCATTTTTTTGTCGAATACCTTATTTTGTAACAATGCACTCATGTCACGTATTAACTTATGTTAGGTGGTAAGGCTGCCGAGGACCCCCGACATGAGTATGGCCGCGGACCACAGGTTAAGAACCGCTGGAGTATAGTGTACGAATAAAACACATTATAAAAACTATCAAATTTCAAAATACTGAAAAGACGAAAAAATGTTAACTTTCAAAGGACTTTATCTGATATTTTTGTGAAAATTATAAGTGTACTACTACACTAAAAATGTATTTTGTTTATTTTATAATATTTAATTAAAAAGGCATACCAGTAGAAGCAGGTGGTGCTTTTATATAACGTAGATCAGTTTTGTTTAAGCCCTTTTCTAGTTGATTATTATTATGCATTTCCTTAGGAAGAGGTTTAAGCACGAGTTCCATATCATTTAATGACATACTATTAAATGCACCATCACATTCAGTGATATTGGAGGTAACAGAAGTCGAATCCATCTTCATTTTTTTAGTTCCATTTGTTTGAGCTGTCACATTATTGTCCACTTGACTTGAAGTTGATGGTGCCGAATTATTTAATGATTTTTTTTTAGCTTGTTGGGCCCTTCGTTTATTTTTAGTATTGTACGAACGGTTTTTTTTTTGTTCTTGTAATCCTTCAGTTATGGACTTAACCATATTACTTTGACTTTGACTTTGATTTAAGTTCTCCATAATTTTATCTCGTTGCGCATTGAATTCTTCGCGATTTGGATAAAGTGCAGATATGAGCAAATCAAAATTTGGGTCTGGTCGCAGACATCGTTTCGATTTCAATCTTTTACGACACGTAGGACAATTTTTATTACCTGCGCGAAGTGAAGTCCCAATACATTCAGAGCAGAATCTAAATAAAACAGAATAATTTTTTATTACTACAAACTTAAAAAAAATGTAATACCTATATAATATAACTCTATTAACACCTACCTGTGAAGACATTTGGCCGCCATTGTTTTGTTCAATAAATCCAAACAAATCGGGCACTTCAGTTCACTGTGAAGAGCCTCCAGTGGTACAGAGATTTCTGTATCATCTGTAATAACTTCATGAGGAGTCCTTTGTAATTCATACGGCGTAAGTTCAAATTCATCCGCACCACGGTTGCTCGAGTTATTTGAAGCCATGTCGGAAAACGATTAAATTGCAGTCTTCACCGTGTAAATTAAACGAAATTCAATGAAAAAATACTCAACGTCGATTACAAAATGTGTCATTCGGTAAATGTATTTTATATATTATCATAAAATCAATACTCACCTAACGGCTGTAGGAGCCGAACGATGATTATACGCGTCAACGAAAATACGATGTGACGTAAATGCGTGCAGACGCTTTGGCTCCAGCAGTTGACGGTATTCAAAAAACTAATTAACCCGACTGTCGACCAATAGCACCCTAATCGAACTGACGACAACGCTTTCGGCTTTCCCAGAGCGGTGGCAATGGCGCGGGGATCGGCGGTGAAACGCAAACGGAGTACGCGAGCGGACCGAAAAAAAAACAAAAACGTGTCAACAACGAACGTTCAACTCAACAGTTGACGCAACTCGTGGTGCTGCCGCAGTAGTAACAGGTGCTGTAATGCGTGGTGCGTCGCCCCGCGTAATATTGTTATCAACGAGTTATCACGAACCGCTGGTGCAAAATATGGCGAACGGAACACGACGTCGAAACGGCAGGCTGTTGTACGAACACCTGAACCGGCTGAACCTGTCGCATCGAACGGGATAGGCCGCGAAAGGAGGTGATGTGTCGTTGTAATATTCGTCACGATGATTTTGATCGCGTTTCTGGAGGAATAAAATCGTTGCGACTCTTCACCATCGCGGTTAAATAGTTTTCATTTGTTTATTCTAGCATTTTGCAATCAAAATGCCGAAAAAACAGACGCCGTCGGTTCCATTGGTCCGTTCTGCGGGCATGGAGTAAATAAGACAAATTTATAACAATAATAATAATAATAATAATAATAGTAATGTAACGACTGTTGACCAGTGTCCAGTGAGGATGGATATCAACAGGGTAGCGTCATGGAACTACATATATACCAAGATTAGGTTAGGATTTTTATTTAATACTCCAATGCTCACTGCTGCAGGCTGCTATCGATAGTCTTGATGAGATTATGAAGAGTAAGTTTTGTGACCAAGCTACGTTACATTGGTATAACTTGGTCGGTGCACAGGGGGGATAGCACGACTGTGCACCCTCAAAAAATAGAAACATTAGAAACCTTGTTCCGTTATATTTTGGTTTAGTAACGCAACTAGAAATATTTCTGGGGGAGAGGGTCTAAAATTAAATTACAAAACATGAAAACTGTAAATAATAAAATAATGTATTTTTTATTAATTTTTGTGTAATCTTATCAATAATAATGCGTACAACATGAAATACAATTATAAAATAAAGTCCAAACAAAACGAAGCTTCGAAGTCGCTAAACGATGTATTATTTCTTCGGATTTTACATTATTTAATATCATAGTGAATATTGATAACAGCTAGTCCATTCAACTTCGATTCGGACGTTGAGTTTCTTAAATACATGCAATTAGTACGTTGGAGTGTAGAAAATTACCTTTCAGCTTCACAAGATGTAACAGGAAGTGTGACCAGTATTTGCAGGAGCTTAAAAACATTTGAAAATAAATCTGAATTGTATTTATTTAAGATTTTGATGGTAATTTTTAGTTGAATGTTACTATCATCTGAATAATGATTCCTAAATAAAAATTACAGACTTCACAAGATCAAAATTATCAATGTCATCACCATAAAATTCAATAAGTTCTTTAAGTGTTTCTTCTTCAAATGTTGAACTTTTCATCAAAATTTGGAATCCATTAATAATGTTTTTATGTTTCATATAAAGATCATTCAGTTGTTGAATTTACAAATCAAGAAAAGGAATGAATAAAATTATTTTGAAATAGTATTCAGGATATTTTTCTGGAATATTCATTCAGTGTTTTGCATCTTAGTTAGTCGAGGAATATCAGTTATAATTTCAAAATCATTTAATCTTATATTAAGATCATTATATAGTTTGTTAAACTCAAGACTTAAGTTTTCTCTTATGGACATCAATTGTTTTTTTCACTACACTAATATGTACAATTGTACAATAGCTTCAACTAAATCAATATTTTCGGTTTGAAAATCTTTACATAGCAAATGAGTATTGTAAAAAACATGTTGAGAATAATGTGAGCTACGTAAAATTACGATGCTTATGTTTCTAATAGAAGTTTATTTATTTTAATTGTATTTCTTCTAAACAACTTGAAATTGCTCATAATTTTATTGTTTGAACTTTGAAGTTATAATTATCAATAAATACTAAAATCTAATACTATACCTATTACCTATATACCTACTGTATATTTAGGAATGTATAATAAGTAGGTTATTCATTTTTAGGTTCCCAGGCCCCATCTCTAACATAATAATAGTTAAAAATAACTTGAAAAGACTTGATGTTGGATAGAATAGGTCACAGATATGTAGTTAGTTGTATAGGTAACTGTAAACATAATAATTATATTATACTACAAATTTATGAAATAACATTGAACACAGGGTAACGACACTTTTTTATCTATGATAGGGTATAGGAAAATTCATCGCCAACTGACTAATATTTTTAGAGTTGAACAAATTGTAGAGAATTCTCAGACCCCCAAACCCTTAACACTGTATATGTATAACAATATTTTAAAATGTATGTTTATTTACTATATTTCAATTAGAGTGAAACAGTAACAGTTTAAGAAAATAAAATGAACACAACTATTTCTGCATGATTTTTCTGTCTGTTAAATTATATTTATTTGAAATACTGCTATTCATAATTAAGGATGACAATATGATCCATATCTCCTCTCTCAATTACCCAAATCAATAATGGCATTACAATTATTCAGTTAAGAACTTTGAACTCTGGCTGATTTGAACTAGAAATATAACAGCTTAACAATGGAAGACCTAAATTGTCAATTGCTTGTTAAATATTTTTTCATTTTCTTATTAAAATATAATATTGGTACCATAGGTCATATTATTTGCTTAATAATATTAATTATTATAGTCTATGGAATAGGTATTGGAGGTAACATTAACATTGAAATACTTAGTTTTCATAATAAAAACCATACAAATGTATTGAACAACACAATTTAACTGTTCACTTCACTTGTTTCATAAGTTATAACAATTATAAACAAGGAAACAATATAAACCCACTCATATTCATGAGCAGTCTTTCATCCTACCAAAGACAAAGATAAATGCTGTTATAATATGTTCACAGTTATTTTGTCAATGTGTTACATAATATTATTATTACACAAATAACTAATAAGTAATAACTATGTACACTATGTAGCCTGTTATATATAACATTCAATAAGCTAAAGATTATTTCATAATATTATGTTGTAGGTGGGAACATAATAGGGAAGTAAATACCCTACTCACTCTATTTTTTTCTATACAATATAGGTACAGTACAACATTTTTGTATTTATTTATTCATAATTTTTACTTCAAAATTATCAAAAGATAACAGAAAAAGTATTTTATTTTTTGGGGTAGCATAAGTCTCCTGTGCACCCCCCCCCCCCCCCAGTTGTACCAACGGAGAGGATGCAATGTTAGGGTATTTACATTGTTTCCTTGTTTATAATTTGTTATACATATTTAAAACTTATAAAGTTAACAGTTTAATTATATAATTTTATGTTCTTTTACTGTGAAAATTAGATAATTTTAATCCTCGTATTTGAGGTATCTGTGACAAAAAAATCGAGAAAGATTTGTATTGTTATGAGCAAGCCATATGTTGGTTATAATAATGTTGGTTCTGATGAGAAATCAAAAGAGCAGTGATTGTTTGATATGATCTACCTCTTGGGTTAGTTTCGAGCCCGCTGAATTGTTTCCGTCGGTTAAATGTTAATATCATTCCCCTGAAAAGTCACTATTTTTTTGCACTTGTCACTATTGTTTTGCTTTTGCACAAGTAAGTAAAAATTAGCAAATTGCCTACTTTCACGAGTCAGTGTGACACACACGGCAGGATTATACTATAAATTATCTATTATATTATATTGTACTTAGGAATAGTAAATCCAGCCCTCGTGACATTTAAATAGTTGTGTATTTTCAGATTCAACTGCGGTAGCTGAAGAAATTAAATAAAATACAATAATATATTTATAAATTATTAATAATTATTACCCCGACCAATGTTCTATAGTCATAAAGAAGGGGTGAGGTAGTTATTTCAATAGTTATTTACATATATAATATATTTGGCGTATATTGTAGTCTGTAGGTATATTACCATTTAATACAATAGTATATGAATTAATTTTACACCCTATAGAAAATTGTTGACACTGTCAAATTCATAAAGTATATACAACATAAACAGGCGCGGATCTAGAAAATATTTACGAGGGGGGGGGGCATCTTAAATAACATTTCTGCCTAAGTCTGACAAAAACATTGTCCATACTATGTAAGCTAATAGGTAAATATTATTATTTAAATCCCAGTTTATCAGTACAATAAAATAAATAAAATAATTACATAATGCATTTTATCGGCTGCCAAAAATAGATATAATAGAAAATTCACCAGAGTCAACGAGGGGGGGCATGGCCCGTTGCCTCCCCCCCTTATATCCTCGCCCGAACATAAATACAATGAATATAGCATGCGTTTTTATTTAATAAGTTTTTAAAAAAGGGAAACGACGTGATTAATATGCCAAGGAATTAATGATAGGTACCGCCGTATAAGTGACCTCGATTTCGTATTTTGAAAAATAGAAACCGAAACAAAAACCCTCATCAAAGTGCACTTTGGTCCTTTTTAGCAGCTGCGGTCGCTGGTCGTAGTCGTCATTATCACTGCTACAGAATATGAGGCCGCGCAGCAACTTGTCGGCGTATGATCATTGATCAAGGAGCGGCCGCTTAGACACGTCCGTCTGACTATTGCCGTCACAACGGCTCTATTAGGTACAAGATAGGGGCCGCTGTAGACCAGCACGCCACATAAATAAATGCATATCTTGTGTAACTGAGGACTTTCGATTTCCATGGCATCATATTATAATATTATAACAGTCAGTGGTGCAATTTCAATGAAAAAATAGGGGGTGCTGAAGCCCGTTTATTTTTTTCATATTATCTTATTGTTGTGGGTATTTGCATGATTACTATTAAAATGTAAATTAATATGAACAAATTTAGGGGAGACTGCTAAGCACTTTCCCTATGATGATTACCAAGGCCGTATTTAGGGGGGGGGAACAATGGGAACATTTTGCCCGGGCGGCCAATTATTGATCTATTTATGAGCGGCCGTGCCCCCTGCGATAAATCGGTGTTTTTTTTTTTTGTAAGAATTTGTGCTATGACTCGACCCTTGTGAACTTAATATTTTAAGGATAACGGATAAGTGCTAGCGCCTAGCATAGAATATAATTATTATTATTTTAACATAATCACGGTTGTAGATAGACAACCATCGTTCAAGACTTAACCATAAAGAATTATAACTAAAAATTTGTTAAGAAAAATCAAAAAAGTGGATGTATTTTTTGGTTGGGTTGGGGGGATGCGTAAAATTATGATTGACCCAGGGCGCAAAAATTGTAAATATGGCCCTGATGATGACAGTACCTAAAAAATCAATTTTTTTCTGTTGTTTTTAGGTGGGTACTCGATGTCTCGATTCGTTATTTTTGGGCTTACTATCAATTATATATCTGTATAATCTCGTGAATATATCCAAATTTACTTATTTACATAGAGAAGATTTATGACGTTTTCAATTATGTACTTAACTTGCGGAAGAGAAAGTGGGTAGTTTTTTGGCCCGAGAAGAACTTCTTCGGTTAGTTCTTTCAGTAACTTGATCAGATTTAATCTTCTACTTTAGAGAACAAGTTGGATTGGCAACTTACCCTTATTTTTTTACTTTCAGGCTCAGAAGCGTGAGTAGTAGCAAGGGAATTAATCATAGTGGGTTGTGTTTGATTTTTTCAACTAGGACGTTTTTGTTTTGATTGTCGTTCTGATATATTTGGAAAATTTGTTCGTTGGGTAATATGTAAGATTTGAGCCTTGATGTGTCATATTAGTCATATTACTGTGTTGTTCATAATAGTCTTTGTTTCTGTGCTATTATAAATGGTGTCCAAGTTAGCCTGTGGGATTTTTGATTGATATTTTTCGTTACTGTTCCAAACCATCTGTAGAATTGTGTCATAAGACTGTTTTTTATTTTAATTGGGTACTTATACATAGTTATTTCTTATACTATGCTAGTACCTATGTGGGTATTATATTGATAATAACGTATGTTTGCGATGCTAAAAAATGTAACACAAAGTTTATAAGCATCCAAGTTAATGTAATTCTTACAACAATAATTATTATTGTTGTAGTCGTTAAAAAATATCTGGTCAAAATTAAGTAATTTTAAATGAATAATATTGAATTTTATATATAATTTTATTGCTTAAAATGTATGATATTTTCAATTCACAAAAAGTTTACGGGACGTCGCCAAGATGTACCAGGGATACCACCGTCCAGGTTCGGTAGTTAAATCTATGGTGGCAGTTTGGTTAACCTCTGGAGGGGCGGATTATTGGCTCACTTTCCTACCCAGAGACACCACCATAGATGCAGGTACTTCTTTGCGACGTCCACAATTCATTTGTAGAAAATTGTCGTATATATAGTATCACGTTCGATGTGAGCTGACAAGTGTAGACGGAATGACCGTTGTTCTATGTTTAACGATAATATTTGCATGTGTTGTACTATTCCACTAGATGCCGCTATATTTAAATAATACTTTTTTATACGTAGTCCAGTAACATGGTCTAATTTATGTTAAAATAATAAAATAATAAAATATAAATTATTATTTAATTATTAAATTAGCAATAAATAATTCATCAATGAGCCGAAGTGGCTCAAATAAGTGGAGGGATGCCCTTCTTAGATTATATGGTCCTCATATACCTGCTTAAACAGTGGTGCAAAATGAGTGGAGAGATGGAAAATGTGAACTATAAAAAGTGGAGGGATGACATCCCACAGTATCTCCCCCCCCCCACTTCGACCACTGACAATACTAAACTCAACCAGTGTGCGTTTTGTTTATATTTACGAAGTCTCACGGACTCGACCTCGTCATCTCGATGTGTGATACTATAACCGAGCCCGGATTAAGAGATTTTGAGGCCCCTGTGCGAAGAAGAAATAAAATATAAATATTTATATATGTATTATACACCTATTCTGCCGCGATAAGCGAAAACAGGATAACTCCAGTTAAAATGATTATTGAGAAACACCAAATAACGTTTTCAACAGTAAATCAAGCCTAAAAAGAGACAAAGAGTGTTTATTCAAAAAATTGGTCAAACCTAGTGCAGTCAGTGTAGATATATCTAATTTCTTCGCTTACCCTTTTCAGTATCCCTCAAATTTATTATAATTTATGTTTTATATATTACGTACCTATGTATTGAGAAATTCTTTTTTTATTCCTATATATAATATAATAATAATTTTATACAATATAATTGTAAAAATCAATTTTGTACAATTATTATACTCGTTGTACACACATTTTTATTTCAACAATTCGTTTATACAATTGTTACATCATATATGTTAAATAATTTTACAATAGCGTTATCGTTTTTTTCATTTAATACAGTGTATATTTTGTATTTAGCGAATTATTTTTAAAAATGTACAGCATTTTTCATTCATTATTTCAATTTATTATCATCACTCCTGATGTCAAAATAATTGGAACTATTGAAAACATTTTAACAATTTTATTTAATTTACAAAATTAAGACAATATTTAATATAGCATACAAATAGCAGGTTTAAAATCGTTTAAGTTAGGTAGCGATTAAATTACAACTTTAAGAATTATATTAAAAGTAGCTTTCGTGGACTGTTGCAGTAATGCTGAGATGTATTCAGAGTGCTGTATCTAAGAAATGTACGCCCCCGGAGATAAGAAAACTTCAGCGTCCTTACGTAGGTTGAAATGTTAAAATACAAATCAAAAACCATATTTCTTTATAACAAATCTGTTTATTAAAACTATTGTTTTCAAACATAGTACAGAAAATGTCAATATTATACTTGAACTAACTAAATGCATATTCCAAAGTATTCGAATTTTTCCCAATAAGAATTTTTGGATTACAATAATTATGAAAAAATGAAAAAAATCTGACAATAGGACCACAAATGAATTAATATTGGTCAAATTATCAAATCTTCATGATTATTATTTTCTGGATAATAATTAAAAATTATAATAGAATACCTACCCCCAAATGTATTTATGTATTAGGTACGATTCTCTGTATAACCTTGGTACTTGGTAATGGGTTTTCAGAAATTGTTTATGATTTTTGGTCAAAGTTCAAGGTTTGCTCGATTACCACCAGAACACATCAAAAATAATATAATATCAAAATATCAACTCAAGAGTTTAAATCAAAATGTTTTAAATATCCCAACCATGATTAAATTTAAATAAATACATATTATTTAATTTGAAAGGTGTTAAAATAAATTGCTTATGATAAATAAAAAATTCATGAACATAAAATATGTATAAATTATAATATATATTTCCAAAAAATAATAATCATAGATAACATTGTTGTTTTTGAAAATAAAAATTGAGGTGTTTCAATGTAAAAGGACCTTTTTCATTTTTCTAATTTTCCAGGACAGCTGTTTTTTTCTTTCTCTAATTTTTCAGATAAAATGTGATGTATCAAAAAATAGGTAAAAAAAAAAGATAAATCAATTTCTGATATCAAAAGTTTTCTTCTTAAAATTATACATAAATATATATAGTATATTTTTTAAGTTTAAAGTGATTTTAGACAATGCGTTTCTTTTCCAGACCATTTTAATAAAACACTGGAATAAGCACCTTTTGGAAAAAAAACAAATCAATTTTCATAAAAATGTACTATTTTCTCAAGCGTCTATTTTATCTTTTTCTAAACATTTTTGAGGATTCAAATCTACAATAGCCACCTTATAAAGAATTAATCCAAAACAACAAGTTTACACTGGCCATAGGCGCCAGGTACTGATGTCAACTATGTTTTAACATTGTAGTTCAACATGTTAAATAACGAATGACTGTGTAATAAGTAATAACTATTATTTTTTTTTGGAAATATGTTATAGTTTATACATATTTTATGTTATGTTTACATATTTGTGTACAATATTAGGATGTTATATGTTGTAAGTGATGTCAACAAGTATTAGATTATGGTATATATTTTAATTATTTTCATCAGTATTAGATTCGGGGTAGTGAATGACTTTTAATGTTCTTCTTTTTATAACATTGTGTTGTCTTTGATATATTCTTATTACTCCTTTTACTGCAACGTACACTAAACCACCCTGAAATATAAACATCAATATTATTAATGAAAAATTGTATTAAAATTCATTAAGTTGTATACAACTAACCAACAATGTTTTTTGTAAGGATGAATATGAACTTTTGTCAAATAATAAATGCCCAACATTGGTGGCAATAGTTGGCAATAAAAGTGCAGCGCAAATAGTAATTTTTGGATGAGTGTCTGAAATTAATTGGACTGAACTAGTTGAACTGTTGACAGGTTCCAATCTAAAAACCGATACAAATACAATTTATAATTAACTAATTAAACTACCATCAACACAATAAGTTAAATATAAATTGTTTACAAAAATGAAGGCATGATGGTTCTTAACAAGGGTTGCTGTAGTGTTAATCTTTGCACAAATAACAGTAAGGTTACTTCCCAGTTGACCAAGTTGCTTAAAAATAGACTGAGAGGTATTAATGGCAACACCAACTGCAATGGAAAATGCGAATTTATATTCACCATCATTTTTACAGCTTCTGTATTGCCCATTACCTAAAAAAAACTCTACGATTTAAATTCCATATAAATAAATGTTTTTTCTATTACAATAAACCTGCATCAGGGTTGTTGCTCCATAATAGACTGCTGACCAATAAAGACTGTTGATCACAATACCAGTTGCCAAAAAAGTACATACTAAATTAGTTAATTTATCAAGATTGTTCAATACTCGGACAAAGTAATCTATAAAATTGTAAAACCCAAAAAATATTTAATTAAAGTTTAAACATAATATAAAACATAAATGGTTATGAATTAAAAGCATTCAAGAGTTCTAATAGTTTTTTTTTCAAAATATAATGGGTATGATAATTAAAAATGTATTAAGTTGTTAGGTACATTTAGTGGGTTTATTTTTTTTACTTGAAAAAATTTTAATTCTTTAGGTCTGAAGTTCTCTATCTAAAGAAAAAAAGAAAATCTATGAACCATAGATAAACCCTTCTTTATCCTCCTCCCAGTTCCAAGATATCACTCTAAAACAAATTATTAATATACAAATTAATTATAAGGCTGACTTTGTCATAATTAAACCATCCACCATTTAGACTTCAATCTATTGCACTTGGGCTACTGAAGCTCACTTTATGGTACGTTTTAAACCTTTCCGCTTGTGCTACATAACAATGCTGTTAAATATAGTTAGTAAACTTGCTTAAATAATGTAAATAACAAATAACAACCCTCTCATTTCCCATATATTAACCATCGCTTTTCCAAGAAAACCAACACACAGAATAAAGAGTTATGGGTAGGGATCTATTAACATAGGTACCTATTGCAAAAGGTGTTGCCAATGGGTAATTCTCTGATCATACAATTCTTGTTATTTTAATCATCATAGACTTTCATAATTGCATTTATACTATTTCATCAATATGATTTTAGATCACTTACTGACTTCACCATAAACAATAATATATTGTGTATGGCATTGAGGGCAATGTACTTTAACACTAAGATTTTCTTTCTGTTTTTCCTCAACCCAACGTTGAACACAATCCTGGTGAACCTAAAATAACAATTTCATATGTAAGAATCAATACAACTATCGAGAATATATTATTACAGTTTAATCAAATAAATTACTGGTACATAAAACATTAATTGTTATAAATGTCTGCTGTTATGTAGTTTCTGAAATGTGTGAATAGAACAATGCCGGATAAGTAAGGTATCACCCATAGAGTTTTAGGATTTCTAATGTTTGACTACAGCTACAGGTACTACTGTATAGTTCAATAATTTTATTCCATTACATTTTATACTTATGTTCGTAACAATATCTTATCGTTATATAAGAATAAAATCCCCTTATTTTAAGTGGCCAATTAAGATTTTCTCAGTAGCTTATAGGCCCAATCTACCGACAATCATACATATATTAGAAATTATTGAATATTTAAACAAAGGCAACTCAAAAGTCAATATTGTAGTTTGTTTTGTTCAATAGGCCATAATAGTTTAAACTATATTTATTAACTGTTAATAGAGCATAAACTGTATAATAACTATTTGTGTGAAACAATTAATATGCATATTAAATATTATGAAAAATTACCCATCGTGAAGAACCTCGACATTTACATGGTGACACCCAATCACTGTTACTTTCATTATCATCATCATTAGTACCAAAACAAACCCAACAACGTTTCGGCCTAGAATAAATCAATAAACATGTTAAAACAACACTTTTCACTACATTAATGCGAGAAATAGAATGAACAGTATGAAATTATTATGCTAACAGTAAGGATAAGGCTGTACACTTTCATGAACATTTTTAAAACAATTTTTTATACCAATAGATTTTGTAATTATTAATTTTTTTAAAGTTATTGACCATTTGTAAATTAAACACAGAACACTTATCGACAATATAGTGTTTCAAAAATATATTCGGTATTATATTATCATTAGGTACCGCTATTAATTTTATTACCACAGTTTTGGTTATTATTACTAATTAGTAAATACTTAATGTAACATATTTTTAATGCTATTATTACATAATATGCCTAAGTTGGAAATGTTCGTTTGTACAGTATTGTGTTTAAATGTCTTTAATGTTATTCATTAATAAACGATGGCAGTAAAGAAGTAGCATTGTGCAAACAGACCCTCCTCTGCTGTCGGTTCTATCCGGAAAAAAAAAGTTGGAAATGTGACTAGGGGGCCTACGCTTACCTCTATAAGTATTCACGTACCTGACTCCTGCAAATTTAACTTGTAAAAGTTCACTGTTACCGAAAAATGAAAATTACAGCTCTAAGAGTGGATACAAGCAAATTAAATTCAAATGAATACTTAAAATATTTAAATGATTAATAAATTATTAATGTTTAAGTTTGATTTGATGTACTGTGTCTATTATCTATTGTTAATTACGTTCATACAGAAACATACTTTAAATTTAACACTTCAAGAGTTCATTCCACCTCTAATAATCAAATTTATACATTTACTCAGATGTGTCTTGGCTGTAGGACGATACGTCATGTTGACCGATATTTGAGTTTTCCATATTTTCACAAGATCTTAACTAAACGATTTAGATAGGTACATAATAAATTAATTGAAAAGTGTATAGGTAATTTATACATTTGTCATTCTACAAAAATTAAAACTAATCAGTCACTTAAAGAAGAAACAGTTTTAATGTAGTATTATGTACCATGGTTGGAGTATATTTCAGCCATGATAATAGCACGTACCTAAAAAAGTTCCTACTAAAGGAAATAATACAATTATATAAAATACAACACACCACCTACTATAAATAAATAAAATGTAGTTCGTCTGCGTCCTGCGGTATTACAGGATTTGTTGATCGATAAATTTGTTCTTAAAAACACTGTACCTATAAAAGTCAGGAACCTACAAATTCCGATAGGAATTATTAAAAAAATTATTTTTGTCAACAGTTGCTGTTGCCCGGAAGCCGGTCGGAGTGAGTAAGGCCACGGAATAATAGTTCAAGTTAGGCCACGCCACATAAAACCACCGTTGACGATGAAAATATTCGGTGCCCAGTGGTGAGCGTGGTGTTCTATGGTGTGATAAGGAACTTTTTGATGTTTGCTCTAGTCGTTCCCAGACCATAATAATCCGGGTGGTGAACACCGAAATGCCAGCCAAAAACAAAAATCCATTCCAACTATTGAGATTGGTTTGTCCAGAGCTAAGTAAAAAAAAATATTGCGGCAGTGTATATTATCCCAAAGCAGGAGTTGATCATTTAAACTGTATACATTTTGGGTTTTTTTTTAACCGGACTTAATTAATTATCTACTGAATCGATTAATACCTAATGAATGACCCCCCTAACCAGACTAACTACATCAAAATTGCTACCAGAAATCATTCCCAAAGTTGAGAACCGAATCATTTTTCAATCCGAATCAAAAACGACGTAACACCATGAAAAAAATTTAATATTCATCGCTCAGCTCAAAGTCTAAAATCAACTAAAAATGGAAAATGGTTGAGGTGACATTTTGTTGTCCTTGTCTGCGTCTTAAAAGTGCGTACCATGGCAAATTTTAACCTAACCTAACCTAACCTAACCAGCAGATCACATATTAAATGTGTACATTTTAGCCCCGTTAGTTTAAAAATTAGAGTGAATTGACCTCTTGTGAAATGTGAAGGTAAGATTATTATCTGGACGATGATATAGGTTTTTTATTATATTTTAATTTTCAAGATGGTTATAAGTAGGGTTCGGGACTAATTGCACACATATTTAAGGAAATCGAAATATGCTCAAAAATATGCAACTGAATGTATTTTTAATGGCAATTAAATTTTGATTTATTCATTATAATTAAGAAAATTTTATTTAAATAGTAATTTTTGACAACATTAACATTTAACACTAAAACGATAGTCCATAACCGATAGTACACGCAGGAACAATAAATTAGATATTTCCCTAGTTGCCAAATCCATTCAATAATTTTATTATTTCCATTAATAAACATAAACCTATAGTTCAATAGTTCAGAGAAACAATTAAGTNAATGTAATAAAATAGTTTAATTTTCTGTTGTATGGTAAAAAAAAAAAAGGTCATTCATTGATATTGTGGGTCGCTATATTTTAAAAAAAATTCAAAATGGGTCGCACAATAAGAAGTTTGGGAACCTCTGGTGTAAGCATTTGCTTTACACGATAACATTTTCAAAATATTTTGATTTGTGTTGAACATATGCAATAATTGTTGATTATTATTTATTACTTGTTTTTTTTTAAACTCAGGTCGATAAAAAAATGTTGGCTCGGTCAAAAAACTTAAAAATTTAATACAAGGTACCTTTTAAGTTGTTGTGAATGTACATTTTAAAAAAAGTTGTGCTTAAATCCACAATAATTTTTCACGAGAGTGTAAACTTAAAATTTTAACAAAATTCATAAAAATCATGATAATTAGCAATTTTTTTTTAGTTAGAAATTCATGAAAATTTTTCTATTTATATCTAAGATTTAAAAATTGAATACAAGATTCCTTACAAGTTTGTCTACCTTTGTTAAAAAAAAATTTCTACTGGAGAGTCAAATTAAATTTTTATGAGTGTTTGAAGTTGAAATTCTTACATTAGGTATTCACGCTCGATTTCTCTTGTAGCGATTTTCTTATTTTGTTGCAATTCGATAAGGAATTACTGTATAAACACTTGAAATTTACAACAAATGTTTATTTCATCAATTCATATACTTGATAAAATGTTCAAAATATTTTGACTCGTCTTAAGCTGTTGACGAACATTTTCCATTTTCATTTTATTTTTTTTTTATAAATTTCATTTTATTGGTTGGGTCAAGAAGCATGATTTTTTATGAGCATTTAAAGTTCAAATTTTGACAATATTTATTAATTTGAAAATTGAAAATGATTTTGTAGTTAAAAATGTTTCAATTTTTCAATTTTTATAGGTAAGGATTGAAAATTTAAAACAAGGTTCCACTTAAGCAGTTTTTTCCGTAAATAAAAAAAAATCTAAAAATATATGAATACAGTTATTTTTTACAGACATTTTAAGTTCAAATTTGGACAAAAATTCATATTAACACAATGAATAACGTTTATTTTTTTATTTTAATTCGATGGTGAAACAGCCCAATTTTACATGAGTATATTTAATATTTTTCCAGCATCACTGATAATTAAAAAATAATATTAATTGAACTTACCGGCTACCATATTAATAATAAGTAATAACAAATAACATTATAAAATATCCTAGACTGACATACCGTCTCCGCTCAGAATCGTTTTTCGTATACAAATATACCTACAATGATATGATATCATTGATTTTAAATTTAATACCATCCATTACAGCGACCTCCTAGACACTTGATGTACAGCAGAACGACACCCACTTACCCTCTTTTTTTTTTTTTAAATTGCTTGTACAAATTAAAATACTCATAACTCGCTTTAAAATTAAAATATAATAAAAATCTTAAGTGATTCCTTAGACATTCTTCAATAGTCTCACCTTTAAATTGTACAGGAGGGCAATTCTTTCTAATTTTTAAACTAACAGAGCTAAACGTAATCCGTTGATTGTACAATTTTCTATGTTACACACTAGTAAGACGAAGACAACAAATGCTACTGTAACGTCCCCTTAAGATGGTTTAAGTATTTGTGTATAATATTCGGATAGTTTGCGCCGCGGAAGCAATGCGAAAGCAGATCCCGCGGCGTCGTCGGTTAAAACAGGAAAAAAAAAAATATTCGGATAGTAAATAATAAACATTTGTCTCGGACACGATGTAGAGAAGATATTTTCTGTACACCGTGGTCTTGGAATATATAAAATTAAATGTTTGCAAACCAATGGGTGACGCCATCTAGTGACAGTTTTTAGGTTTTATTAACGAGCATAACCAGAATGATAGAGGTCGGCACAAGTGATCTTAATAACAAAAAACGTGATCAGTTGAAAAACTGTCTACTTACCACAAAGGCACAAACACGTATTCTGAACTTTTGACAACCGATATTTATTTTATGCATGTCTAATAATTGTGTACAAAAACTAAATTAAACAAAGAAAATCAGACCCATTCTGTATGTTGTAACAATAAAATGAATAATCCTCAAAACATTTTGCTTTTTAATTCAATTTCAATGCATACGTAATAATGAGATTTAATATAAAAAAATAAAGTTTCAAATAAGATTACATTATCCAGGTGTTACTAAAAATTAAAAATGCAAAATATATGTCTAGCCCGATCTAGGTACCGATACAAAAAGACGGTCTAAGGCGATCCTCCTCAAATAAGTCTTTGATCTCCGACGAATAGGTGAGCAATTATTATAAATTCATTTAAATTCTGAGATCTGAGGTTTACGAACGGTTTATGAACAACTTTAAACATTAATTATTATAAGCACCAACAAGCTTTGAATTAGGAAAATATAAGTCCAGTTTTGAATCCCGTTGTGCGCCGGCTTCATTTTTCTACCATCACATCATTAAATAAATAGGGGCAAATAGCGATTTAATTTTGTTTGGTGCCTGGAGTAGTGGAGTGGCTTGATTTCAGTCCGAATAAGTCCAATATATATGTATATATAATAGAAGAACAAGGACTTAACTATACCATAATTTATTTACTTGCGACCGACAGAGTGACACTCGTTAAAACCATTTCGGCTACAATAGTAAGACCTATAAATACCGTGGATTACCACTATTTCATGACTTATTACATATATCAGGTACATCAATGGTACCAAAACTGGATTGCCATTAACCGTTCTACGATTTTATTGTGCAAAAAAAAAAAAAAACAGAGTACAAATCCTTATCTTTTCGGGTAATATCTAAAGGTCAGTAAGCCAACCCTAAGAGTCTCACAAAATAACAAAATAATACTAATCACTAGTACCTATATATATGTTATATAGAGACGTATTATAGCCTATTGCCTATAGGTAATATAACAATCTCGTTATTTCGAGATGTTGACATTTCGTTTTGGTAAGTTTCTACTAACGAAGTATTTTCTCTCTGCTATAATAAATAAATACAACATTTTTATTGTAAATAATAAATAATAAACAATATATAACAATAATAACAACAGCAAAACTACAGAAATCAGACGCTTCTCTCGCGGTTGACGTGAAACAATAAAATTTAATACAATAATATTGTTTGTCATGTGATTTTTTATTTTTGCCATATATATTATTATCTATTAATGATGGATTGGTCGTAAATTCTAAGTTTTTGTACACGACGAGGGCCACTAAATAACAATGATTTTTTAATTTTGTCTATAATTCTTTCAGTGATTGAAAAAATAAAAACCCAATTTTACTCCGTTCCCTTTTTTTTAATTTCAGAATATTATATTACATTATAATACTTGTGGTTATGCTCATGAGATTGATTCCAGAAAAATATGAAACCATAATAATGGTGTACCAAATTAGCCTATATAAAACGCAGTGTTATACTATTTTTGTATCACAATCTATTATAAATGTAATATGCAATA